GATATTAAAAGTGGCTGTTTGGTTAGAGAACACCTGAAGACCCGTGACACAACATTACCGCGAATACACAGAACGACATTACCGCGAACGACATTACCGCGAAGGACGTTACCGCGAACGACATTACCGCGAAGGACGTTACCGCGAACACAACAAACTAAGTCTGCAAAGAGCCAAAATAAGCTTTTTAGAAGAACTACAATATTTGGTGGAATATTTATAAAAATTAGTGACTAAGTTGAGTTTACTTAGTTTGACAATAAAATTAAAGGGAATTAATTTACATTTGAAAACGTAAATTTAAAGTTTTATGGCAAAATTCCCTAACAAACAATCGCGATTGTCGGACGGATTAGTAATCTATTAAAAATAACTATAGCTTTGTGCCTTTAATCATATAATACGGGCAGTTTTTTGCATTATTACAGCGGCTTCTCATAAGTTTTATCTATCTTCAGAGATGTGTTTGCGTGTTCCACAAAAGTTTAGGAGTGGGACACTCTAATGTATTTTGGAATTTTCTCTATTGGCAAGTAACCAGTAGCCTTCAAATCTTTAGACATTGAATGATTAGTCATTTCACATATGTAGTAAAAAAATTAAATCTCTAGGTCCTATACCTTAGGTGCTCAGGAGAAGCTTAAATGGGGTATGACACGGTTTTTCACTTTTCGTGGATCACAAATTCCGTCGAAGTTTTCATAAAAACTGAAAAAGATTAGGCAAAACTAAAACTGCAGCTTGATACAACAGATAACATACTGCACAAAAACAAAAAAAAGGTTTTATTTCGCTCACCTTAAGAAGAAAAATGTTAATTAAGAAAAAAGAACCCAAAAACAAAGTGTTTTGGTTACTGTACACTAAGGGAATAAGATAGAAAAGACATCTTAGCAGTATATATAGAGTAAAGTGTCCGGAATAAAATGGCATAAGTTTCCAAAAGTTTGGTTTAGTATTAATGGAGAACCAGGCAGGTCCATGAGCTCAGGCGGTACAAAAATTACCAGAATTATTCATATCAATTCAAATATATCTGTAGTTTGGGTGATAATATTGCTGTTCTTGTTTTTCTACCTAGATGGAATTTGATATCAGCACTATTAAAATATTTTCAACAGGATCCACGATTTGGTTTATCAGCTTATTTTATACTGCCGTTACATTCACAATTGCCTCGTGAATAATAATATCATGTCTGTGAACCAGTGTTAGGGTTTGGACATCAAAAACTAATTTAACTCAACGTAAAGGTCGAGCTGGACGTGTTTCTTCGAGTTGCTGTTTTTATCTATGTTCTAAAGCACGTTATAAAAAACTGGATAATTATTTGACACCAGAAATATTTCAAACACCGGTGCATGAATTAGCTATGGCTATTAAACTTTTACGCCTGGGAGGTATTAAAGAATTTTTGATGAAAGCAATCGAACAAGCGCTCATGGATGCAGTAGCAGAATCAGAAGTTGCATTAAAAAGTGAGTTTGAGAGAGTTATTCTATCAATGAAATTGAACAGCCGAGTACTAGATAATGAAGAACTGCTACTATAAATGGACATCTCTAGAATTTTCATGGTAAAGTTTGTACATATAATATTTTCTTAATTACCATAGCTTTGTGCATTACTTCTGTTTATGTGATGAAAATGATGAATTAACACATCATTGGGCAAAATGTTGGCGTGTTTGCCTATTGAACCAAATATTGGTAAAATGATTATTTTAGGAAGTTCTTCTATCTATCAAGCGTATAGACGAAATAATTGTACAGCTTCTATTCTAGGGTTGGACACGCTGCATGCACCATTGTGTCGTGCACAAGTTTTCTTGAGTCATTTCTGCATGATGTAAAACATATTTGTGGGATAAATCGTTGGCTGGAAAACGTGCTACAGTGGTCATGTACCATTATTAAATGTATTTCAACAATGGGAAAAAGAAAAGTAAGTAGTCAAGAGAAGAAGAACTAGAATAGTAGTTTTGTATTATTAATGAGTTTAGAATGCGTGATGGTGAACAAGTGGAATTAGAATTCTGTAATAGAAAATGCTTAAATGCATCAACAATGAGAATCACATTTGGAGCAAGACTCTTGCTGCAAGAGTATGTGTATCTACTTTTAGAAGAATAATCGATTGTGTTCACTTTCACGTCGATTTATGTAAAGGAAAGATAGAAATCAAATATGCAAGTAGATTTCATTCAGGTAGCAAAAATCTGTTTCGATGAAATTTCCCATTTTTGCGTGCGTTGTAAAAATTCTATAATCCATTCAAAATTAATTCAAATGACCTCCTATCCTATGATATTTTGAAGTTCTTCTTATTTACAGAAGTACTGTTTGCCAGTTTCGAAAGCGATTGAAGTATTATGGTTTTATGATTTGTAAATATTTTTGTATTATAGGCGAATGTGATATTAATACGGATTTTTTACTTGTTGTTTGTAATGGATATGTTGAAAGCATATCCATCATTAAAAATGGTTCTTATGTCAGATATACTTTATTTGACTATTTATGCTTCTAGTAGTGCGCTGAATGATCTGTTACGTTGACTTTCTAGCCATCACATTATTTCGTGAATATTTATTAATTGCTCAGTTATTGAAATTCAAGGTCAAACATTTGATGTCAGAGAATATTATCTCGAAGATATTATACAATTTCTAAATTCGCAATCATATTTCATATTTATTTGTCAAAAAAAGAAAAAAAATCGAAATAAAAATATACAGGACGACGATGATAATATCGATCATGGAAATTCCCAGGACGATGATGGAGTGGTATGTTAGAAAAGATACTAAAAATAATATTATATTAAAACGATCTGTTATATCTTTTTGTGTTCTAGAAAGTGAACGGCAATGCTATCTGTGGTAGTGAATATGCACTATCAACTCAACTCATGCCTTAAAATAATTAAGCGAAAAATCATTATGTTTTGAATTAATTGAGGTGAGTTTTCACTAGATGAATGTAAGTATATTTTGATAAATTCTATCAACTAGCATTATGAAAAATATAAATGACTACTATTCAGTCAGATGATCACTGTTACGGATACGCATGATGTGTATGATCACATTTCATACGATCAAGCTCGTTCAATTTCTTTTAACTAATTAGCTAAAATTAAAGTTGATACTTACAATTCATAGTTCTAATGTTCGATTCCACCATGTGTGTAATGTAATTTTTTACATAATAAAGAAAATTTTCGTTTTTGTACGGTTGCAAAAAACTGATTAGTCGCCTTAAAAAGCGTTTTCAACGAGACTCGTACTAGTGCCACAATGAAAAAAGTGGAAAAAAATGGACTGCACTTTACAACTCCTAAAATAATAAGAAATAAAGAGGCGATTTTAGTTGATGATATCGACCTAACATCGACAAGTATTTGCAGAAAATTTGAATCGATTTCGAGTCTAAACGAACATATATTTGCGACACTTTTTATGCAGAAAGGTATGACAAATGATCCGTGGTACTCTTTTCTTTTTCTATCTGTGTAGTCGACATCTTGCAGCAGCAAGCAAACAAACATTTTTTCGTTGTCCATAAAAAGAAACAGAAGGCAATGATAAAAAATTGATAGTGGCAATAAATTAAGAAAACAAAATTAGAAATTAATGTATCTGCAGAAATCGAATGAATTGACTGAAATCGACTGAAAACACTAGCATCAAAAACACGTGCACTTTTGTATAAAAAGCAAACGACTTATAGGCTAAAACAACATATGTTCTGAATCTAGACACTATCAACTATCCACTAGTGGAGATCTAAAATCACGGAGAAAAATTTTTTTTATTTTTTCTAAGTGGTTTATAACACCGCTTAGGAAGGATGTATAACACACAACTTTTTAGAAAAACAAAACATCTTCGAAAAAATTCGGGCAAAGCAAACACCTCTCGGGAATTTTCGGTTGAAAAAACATATTTTCAGAAGAATCTTTTTTGCTTGAAGGTCATCCTCTGAATGATACACAATCATTTCCAAGCAAAAAGCACGTTTCTGATAAAACAAAATCACGTGTCCACATGCTATGCAAAAAATGCACACTGTGATCGGACCGAGTTCGGGTTACGTTTTTTAATCCACGCAGTTTTCTACCTGAAACCATCGGAAAATAATGTTCATCAATTTAGTTCTCTACAATATTTAATTATATTAGAACTTGACACCAAATTTTTCTGCTTTTTTGGACGATTTCTAGAACGAGAATTAATATGAAGATAGTGGAAAAAACGTATAAAATTGAAATCTTTTATGGACACAGTGGATGTCCACTGTATCTTCTGCTAAGGTTGAATAGTATGGTTTGAAGCTTAGCTATGAAATAAACAAATTCTGAACTATTATTTAGTCAGAGGATATATCATAGTAAAAACAAATAAATTTCTAAACGTGATTATTCCCAACTGTCCAACGCCGTTCATGTTCATATTTTGATGATTGTTACAGTCAATGATATAGGTAAAAAGTACAAAAGAATTTGGATTGATGCAGCTTAATTGTACAGTTATGAACATGGCCGGCGGAAGGGGCGGGCGACCGCCCGGGACGTCTCGGTTTTCTAATACTGATCAGGCGCATTTCAACAGGTACAGACAGAAGGGGTGGGGGCGCATATTTCGAGAAGAGGTGGGGGCGCAAAAATAAATTTTCGCACGGTATCATAATTTTGCTCGCGCCAGTCCTGGTTATGAAGGATTAAAGTTTTTTGATAGGTAATATCATAGTGTTTGCAGAGTTTTTTGTTTTTTTCATCTCTTAATAACAAAACACTTCAGAGCTGTAAATTTTTACTGCTAATAGCCATAGATAAGATGTGTTTGCAAATAATTTTTTAATGCTTTGTTATTGAGAGATGAAAAAAACAAAAAACACTGCAAATACTGTGACATTACCTATCAAAAAACTTTAATCCTTCATAACTGTACAATCAAGCTGCATCAATCCAAATTCTTTTGCACTTTTTACCTATATCATTGACTGTAACAATCATCAAAATATGAACATGAACGGCGCTGGACAGTTGGGAATGATTTTTGATAGTCATTTTTCTTATACTAGAGATTATATCACGTACAGAAATTTGTCAAAGGTGAAAGCGAGACTTGTCAGTTTCGTCGGCGATTTATTTTTTCAAAATTTCACAACGCTGCCGAAAACGCATAAAGTTTCAAGAAGAGTTTACTACGCCGATTTTGAAATTTTCTATTGAAAATAATCAGATTTTATATAGACTTTCTAGAACAGTATGTTCGCCGTCGAGGACGAAAACATTTCTAGTGATGTGAGCGTCCCAACAAATATCTCATATCGTTTATTTTTTCTAGAATTACAGCACGTATGAATAATCAATGTCTCCGGCTTTTTTTGTCTAAATGAATTTACCATGCACCTATGATGACAGTATACTGATACGATATGGTGTTTGCACACTAGACAGCACGTAATTACTTCACAATAGATATACCTAATTTTTGTTTTCAGTAGAAAGAAAATCTATGCGATTTTTTTATTAGTTCTTTCTCTGCGCACAAATATAAGAGCAGAAAAGATACTTTTTTTGTATATATAGCTAGTCTATTGCTTTTCTATTTACTTCTTCTACACACTGACAATATAGTTATTTATTTAAAATAAACGTAAGTAATAAGATTTTTAAAAATAAGGTCATTTCTTTATAAAAGAAAAAGAAGAAAACTGACTGCATCGTGCGTTTTTAATCGTCCTTACATAGAGAATTAGAATATTATATTTTTTATACGTATACTAGTCCTAAAAAAACAGCATATAAGAATTTTTACATTTATGGGTTTATTATGCGTTATTACACAACATAACGTTATTTTATTGTATTTTGAACAAAAATAAAAATAAATTAGAGGTAATATCTTCTTCTTTTTTGTACCCATCCAAAATCAAGAATTTATTCTGATTTCTCATTCTTCCTCATATTATAGTATAAGATGTATAGGGTAAAACAGCAAACATTTCTAAGATTCTTTTACATATACATTTTCTTGTTGTATGTACAAAAACATACATATGGAAAAAATGCGAGAAAAAAAATCTGCTTGTCAAAAAGATCAAAAAAAAAAAAGAAGAAATGCAAAAAGAAAAAAAATAATTTTTTTTATCGTCTTTCAATGTGGTAGAGAACGAAGTGAATCTGTATCTTTCTGTCATTGTCTAGAACATGACGTATTATTTACTAATGACATAACTAAAAAAAAATGAGAGAAAAAAATTGAGAGAAAATGAATCTTATAGTTATAGTATTACTAATACGAAAAGTGGAAGTCACACCAATTATTGATTCATTGAATATAGTTACTGCAAATTGTTTTTCTTTCTTTACATGCGCATATCTAGTTTTTTTATCTTTAGAACTAATGATTTTATATTGTACACAATAATATGTTCTTTTTTTACATAATAAGATAAACTGATAATAAAATGATTGTAATTATGAAAAGTGTGTCATATCTATAAATTTGATTTTGTCCGTCAATCTAAATACGGATCATCATTTGATTCAACTTTAATAAAAAAAAAGAACTTTATCTAAGGAATTTGATTTCATACCGTTGTCAATATCTTAAAAATGAGAATATAAATCAAGATTCGAGTTGAAAAAAAATATGCTGTATCATAATGACTTGAATAAATAATATTATTTTCTCTGATCCAGGAAGCGAAAAAAAGAAATGATTTTTATTCTTAAAAAAACGTATCCTATCATTTATCTCTTTTTTACTTTTTTCAATAAATACTGTCATTTAAACATTTTTCTTGAAGGAAATATACACTGCACTTTTTAAGAAATTACATTACGATAAACACCCACAATCTACAATCATACATAGTCAATTTTAAGGTATTTTTATGACTACATATTTTTTTTCAATTAAAAAGAGCATATTTTAATGTAGTAAATCTGTTGATAAAATAGGCTGAACTGTATAATATATTAAAAAGATATTGTATAATCTGTCAGGGTTGTGCGAGGGTATCGAGTCCAAGTTATAAAGCGAGTTCGAGTTCGATAATATTTTAAAACCTTTTTGACTATTGTTATTTATATTTCGTTTCTCCTATGCCGTACAACACATCAATCTTATTATAATAGAAAAAGTTACCTAATAAACTTATTGCACATTCCATACTAATAATATTGAAAAACTGAAAATGTTCCTGTTGATTTATGTAAGAACTTGAATCGATCGGAGTCGGACTCATCAAGTCTTGTAATCTCTTTTATAAACTAATACTTACGAATACGTAATGATCTACCACTGGGAGAGGGAGAAGAATCATTTTCTTTTCTTTTCCACCATTTTAACCAAACTAAATCTTCGTGTAGAAGAAGGCGTATAACTACTTTTATCTCCTTACTATATGTAAATACAAAAAAAAAAATAGAAAACATAATCTTATTTTCAAAGTGTCTATCATTTAGCAAGTTCGCTTTAGTGTAAACAAAAGTATCCCTTTCATGTAGCAAGATGACTTTTTAGTTACTGTTTTGGTTATGTCATATGCTTTCTCTCTATTCTCTAACATCCACCCATACGAATTTTTATAGTTTGATCAAATCTGAATACATAAAACTTAAAAAAAAGATGTAGGTTGAACTTAAAATAAAATAATATAAAAATATTCTTATTCATCAAACGATGATTAATTCTCGACTAAAGGTATGGTGTTTGTCATTTATAACTTTAAAGTCTCTCAGGGTGAACAAATATAATTAATTATTGTCGAATAAGACGAGATACACAAGTGTATACATGTGAAAGTATTCTAAAGTTACCTTTTCTTACTCCCACATATTATGTCTCTCTATATGTATGCACATATCGAATCGAAGATCTTTTTTTTTTCGATTTTGCTATAATAAAAGAACCAGTAATGTTATGTATGTGTGTGGGATGACGTAAATATCATTTGAGAGTAGTATGCAGAATAAAAATAGAACAGAGAAAAAAAGAGAAGTTTGCAAAAGTTTTTTTTTTATTCTATTTTTTTGTTTTTGACACTCTAATATAATTCTTGTTTTTAGGTTGAGCTATCAGTATTATCTTTATTTATTTAAAACTATGAATCTATTAAATGGAGTTAACTCCAATAACGAGAGATCATACGTTTATCCCGTAGATCTATCGTTGTCATTCGATGAACCAACCATTGAGGCTGATTTTAAAGTCTCATCGTCTATTGATCCTGTTGCACAAATTGAGAAATGGTTAAGATCACCATCAACATCTCCACCATTAGTAAATATCACACAACAGCCAATAATAATAGCAATGTATAACGATTCCAATGTAGTATCATCATCAGTACAAAATTCTTCACCTTCATCCTCATCTTCACATTCAGAAAAAAGAAAAAACCGAGATCGACAAACGCTATCTGACGGCCATGTCAAGTAAGCTATATACTGGAAATAAAATAAAGTTCAACACACGTTTTTTACTTTTTGTTTTAGATATGGACCAATAACGGTCAATCCTCGCAAACGTCCGGCTAAAACATTGTTTACTGGTCGAAAATCTAAATATGAAATATTACCCCCAGACGAAGAGGAGAAGCGTCGGTATGTGATTCTAAAAAGTAATTTTAATAATTATTATTAATTGAGTCTTTTTCTAGAATGAGACGTGAAAGAAATCGTGTAGCAGCAACAAAATGTCGTGAAAAACGTGAAGATGTTATTACTTTTTTAGAAAAAGAACATGAAACTGAATTAAATAAAAATGCACAATTAAAGGAAAATCTCAGACAACTCAAGAAAAAACATGAAGAATTAGAAAAAGTACTGATGAATCATTCAAATGTATGTCAACTTAATCAAAATCAATCAAGAGCAATTAACGATCAACAACTAATGTGCTCAACAAGCAACAATTATCTTGTTAATACAAGTATGATCGATGATAGTTTACCATCATCGTTATCAAATTCGATAGAAGAAATGTTATTTGGGGACACAGCACGTACCTCTTTTTCCGATATTAATACCACACGAGGAGATTACAACGCACCAATCGTCTCCTCGTCTTATCATCATGTTTGTACTACAACAAACAAAGCGGATGAGGCGAATAATTATCTCGTCCAAATACCGTACACTTCAACACAATTGAAAGATAATTACTTTTTAACCAACTCAAATTATTTAGAACAACAAAATCAATCATTATTATTACCATCCTCATCGTTTGTCAATGATCAACAACAACAAAATTACAATCATTTACAACCAATGGTTGATCTCATAGATCGAAATCCATCAACAAGAATGATATCTCAAGATTCAGGACCTTCTGTGGTTCAATCAACAAATATTTCAGAAAATATTCGACAAATGTTCACTTATGAAATGGGTGGTGCTAATAATACGCTCATAACAAATTGTGCTAGAGAGTTTGGCTCAAGTAGCGAAGAAGATTCATCGTCTCCGACACTTACACCAGTATTTTAAAAATAGCATTTATAACATGATGGAAAGCAAGTAATTAGAGAGAAAACAATATAAATAAACATTTTTGAATCTTAACCCTTTCAGAACGGGCGGCCACTATAGTGGCCACTGACTGTTTTGAACAGAGAGACGTAGTAATTTAAAAAAGTATTTTGTATGTTTATGTTGTAGTATTTTATATGTTTTATTCACGAAAAATAATCCCGTCCTGAAAGGGTTAAAAAATCGTTAGACTTCGTCGAAGTATTTTCTCTGCAAAATTAAAAAATATTATATGAAGCTTAAGGTTCTACAAGTAGAAGTTTGTTTTCTTTTTTAAATTCGTAGAACTCGAGCTGAATCAACGGAGAAGGATCATCTTGTGATTTAAAAAGTATCAAATAACTCAATATTTTGTACTTTCTAGTCGCTACTTTTCACGGTAAAAAATTCTGCTTTTCTATTTTCTAGAATATTTTTTGTAGCATTTATTCTTTCTTAAGCTAGATATGTTTTTTTCTTCAAAATATATTTTTAAGTTTTGAAATGTGCGTATATATTCTAAAACTCTAGTTTGTATTTTTACACAATGATATTTTTCTTTTCACTTTGGTACTATTTTTGTCTCTTTTTTTTTTTCTAAAGGTCAAAACCAGCAATTGCTATAAGATGTTTCTTGCATTTTTTTTCTACAACAGATAAAAAAAAAATGAAGCTGCATTTTTGCTGATTTTTTAGTCTTCAAAGTTTTTTCAATGTGTGAACGAAAATACCAAAATTTACTTACTCTTTTCTTGCTATATGACTGTTTTTTTGTCGATGTACAATATAAATATTAAGTAGACAAAAATAACGTAAACATGTTTAGAAAATTACCGAAATACGTCGTCTATAGGGATGAGATCCGAAAAAAAATTTTTTTCCTACAGCAAGTTACATAAATAATTTTTCAAAGATTTTCGCTGTTGGAAAAATAAAATTACCGAATAATATGTAAAGCATTCAACATTCTCCGTCAGCTTTCTAAATATATCTTGGTAATTCATCGGCATCAGAGTTTTTCAAAAAATGTTTTAATGTGGGTGAAAGGATATTACAGCACTTCTGAATCACATTATTTACAAAAACCCTTTTCAAGTGTTATGGAGAAAAATGAAGTTGTTACAAAAACGCACGAAAAAGTCGTTTTCTGTAAAAACAAATTCCACATTCTCTTTTGTTTTTAAAAAAAAACATCTTCACAGGATAATAAAAAACAATTTATTATTGTTTGAAAAACTGCCACTAGATGATAGTTCAATACTCTCTTTTAAAATACAGTATTTATAATAAAATAAGAAGCTTCTCTCTCTTCATCCAGATAAAGTATAGTCATGGTGATGGAGGAAGTGAGATTTCACTAAATTTAATTTCATTCATTTTCGGTGGAGGAATAGTATATCCGAGAGTTGTACTTCCATTCAACATTCGAATAAACATATGCTTTTTACTAGTCTCTGGTAAACCTAGAATTATGAACATAGAACGTACGGCAGAATCATGTAGCTAATAAGAGAAGCTACCAAAGTATTCGTAAATTTTTGTTTAAAACATACTTAAAGATAATTTCTGATGCTGAATTCGTTCTTATACAATCTTTCAGAAAAGCATTTAATCAAAGATATAGACAACTTTCGTCTCAGCAAAGTCTGTTAGTGCTCTAGAGCATATCAACTGACCTATGTGCACAAGTGAGTGAAACAAGTTTTATATAGAGCTATATGTCAGTTTCTGATCCAGTCAAAATAAGGGTAGTCGGGGTAGTTGTTCTAATAAAAATACTGTAACTCGATGAAAACTTATATACAGATCATTTGGTATGTTCTGCAATCGATCACTAACAGACTTTGCTGAGACGAAAGTTCTCGATATCTTTGACGAAATGCTGTTCTGAAGGATTGTATGAGAACGAATTCTTCACTTATCTATAATTAAGTAAACTTCAAGGGAAAGTGGATTATTGATGATTCAGGGGGGGGAGGGTTCGCGTGTTAGAGAGAAACTGGAAATAGTGGCACCGCATACATTCTCCAAAACATTGTAATAGACAGTTATCCGCCAAACATGTTGCAGCCTATAAAAATAAGCAATACGCGATATTGATGTTGGACAGGAAAAAGTTTTTTCTCACATAATCTTCATAACTGATAAATCCATCCCGATCTCTATGAATAGGAAAGAATTTAAATTTTATAATATTCGACTATTCATTAGAGAACTACCTGTCAAGTTTTTTCCAAACATATGAAATAAACTCTTGTATGACAAGTTCAGGATCTTCCTAGAACTTACTGATTGAAGATGTGATCAAAAGCAAGCAGAAAACCAAACGTACTTTTTCTGATATTATTGGCATATCTTTTCTTAGAAAAGAATAAATCTCTTCACGTTGAAGATTTCCATCACCTACACAGAGATGTTATAAGATACAGACAAACAATTGAAACTCCTGGCAATGATTAAACGACTAACCACTAACATCGTAAACACGAAAAACAAATTTTAGTTGTTCGTCAAAGGTCGCTTTCAAAAATATACCCATTGCATTTAGCCATTCTTTCAAATTAATACACATATCACGATCATCATCCAGAAGAGAAAAAATACGATCTTCTAAAATTTCATCACTTATATTAAATACCGTGCTCAAAAAATCACGAAATCTTTCTCTTGGAATTAAACCAGTATTTGGATCAGATAATGCTTCATAGAACGCAGCTAAACGTGCCGATTCAGCATCATCAAAACGTAATTTATGTGCTAAATCACGATAGGTTTTTGTTCGAAATGTTAAATTCAATTCACTCATATTCTTTCTTAATTTAGTCATGATTATCAAGCTAAATTATGAAATTAAATCTTAGCTCAAATCGTAGAAACCAAATATGATTGAAAAACGTAACTAGGCAATTATTTTGCAAAAATAAAATGGAGCTGTACTTCTTATTATTCTCAAATACATCTTGATGATAAATACTTTCGTTCTAAATGAAAATGTTATCTAAAGGCCTCAGCTTTACGTTCTCTTCTAGTCGAAGTTGTCCAATGAGCGAGACGTTCAAACAGAAAAATACTGAAGATTTAAAACATTCTGACCTTCTGTTTATTTAATCCAGAATTCAGTCCCTTCCAAGTGAGCTGTTGAGTATTTTTTATTTGCGAGTTCAGGTATAAAAACAGTTAATTTTTTTTACACCATAAAAAGAAAAAGAAAACAACACAACGAAGAGACTGCAAAGAAATAAAAAACAGACAATGGGCAACGACGAGAACATGTGATGATGATGATAATTATACTAGAAAATAAGTATATGTTTACAACAGTCTTGCTCCATAGCCAAACGTTTGTTTAATTGCCTGGATATAGAAACGTCTCCAACCTTCCATCGTATTATCATAGAATTGTTCAGGTACACCATTTTGTCTCACAATTAATTTCGTTTGATCATTTTCATCGACAAATTCTAATCGAACATGTGAAAAATGTTCATCAGGCCATTGTTTAAACCTCCACAACATTTCGATTGTATCATACGGAATGATATCAAGAAAGTTGCCTGTGATATTACCACCAAATAACGAAAATGATCCACCTTGCTTGCAATCGTACTGTTGAACACTGTTTTGTGTAAATGCTTTAACCATGTTACTATCCGTAAATACTTGAAATAACTCGTTACGTGAACATTTATAATGATCTTCGATCACTAAATCTTTTGTTTGTAATGGTTTTGATGATGATGATGATGTCGTATTCGATGTGGATAAACTAGTTTTTGGTGCTGTTGTTGTGGACGATGGCGGTGGCTTCCTTTCAACGGATGATGAAACTATTTTGTCTTTTGTTGGCAAGATTAGACCTTGTGAAAATTCTTCTTTTAACAAACGTACATATTCACCTAAACGATGTCGAATAATGGGAGTGCCATGTGTAATCATTAATTCTTTAAATTTTTGTGCTTTTTCTTTTTCAATTGAGAATGATACGTTTACTTCATCGATTGAGTTTTCATCAGAAAGATTGGGAATTTCTAATTCTCCTTGATACTTGGTTTTATTATCATTATTTGAACCTTTAATGTATCCTTCGTATTTTGCTTCAATATGCCATTCGTATAAATAAACTAATTTTGCTTTGCGGTTATTAGCCGATGCTTCACCATCACATTTTTTCAGTTCTTTTATATCACAACGTAATTGATCATTTTCTATCGTTAAACCAACGAGTAATTCAGTTAGTTTGTCTTTCGACCATTGTGTAGCATTTTTTTCAACCCTAAATTGAAAATAAACGTAAGGTCGTGTTCTAAATAGAAATAATGTTGTAAATAACTAACCAATGCCAGTTATTGACGTTCGTAGCATCTAAATTAAACAGAAAAGTAAAGGCCATGCTGGATAACGATGCAAAGATTGAGAAGTCAACGGAGTGAAACAACAATCAACAAATACTCACAAAACTTTGAAGAGATATTTAGATGATATTCGCATTTCACACTGAATATAGAGAAAGACGGCAACAATGCTATAGATAGGCAATGATTAACTGACTCCCAAAACTTACTTTTTGCATTATATACGTTATATGTGCAATGTCGTTCTCGGTCATAGGTGATCGTATAGATTTAGGAAAAGATAGACCCTCTAATAATTACCGATGAATGATGTAACGTTACTTTTCCGATATGTGCTTTAACTGAACACATGTAGTTCTGAAAGATGAGTATATTTTCAGAAAATTTGCCATTTTTCTAATGACATAATAAATAGTCACATACTGTTTCAGTGCATACACTCAGGCTTGTTTGTATGAATCGAATCATTAAATTGTCATGTACTGTTGTGAGTTAGTTATAAACAGTATCTCTATAGCACAAATAGGTTTTCAAAGTCAAGAATTTGTGATTTGCACAAATTCGTTATTCTTTCTAGATTAATGAAGTGTCACAATTTCAAATGATTACAAAGATTCGCTCTTTATGATTGATTTCTAGTACAAATGTGAGAGTAACAGCGCTGTTACTCTCACGTTTATATTGAAATTATTACCCTTCAACAAGTTAAATATTTCTGATTTCTAGTACTTTTTAATTTAACGTTTTTAGATTGAAACAGCATTATTCACCCTATTTAATGGTTTGACTCATTCGACTTTCAATCTTTCCAAACAGTAGTTGCCCTTTAGTGTACCTGCAGTTTCTAGGGTGAGCTCTGCGGTTTAGCTAAGTGGTGCACAAGAGTAACAGGTCATAAAGAGAAACGGTGAAGTTTCTGGAAAATTGCTGGTACAAACAATAAGTCTCCTTTTCTTTCAATCAGTTGACTAAAGATACAAATACTTCGGACAGGATAATTAACACAAATTTCGCTTTATGTTAAAGACAGTTAATCAATTGGCTGCTCCGACGCGGAAACCTTGCCCTGCTAATAAAAGTGTTGCTTGTGAATTTGGTCGAAATAGTTTCTCATTTCGCTCGAAAGAACCAGCAAGATGGAATCTTAACCTTTCAAAGTTATGCAGCAGGGAGAGAGAGACATCTGACAGCAAATTCTGAGTTTCATGGACAAATATGCTAATTACAGTCTCATACGATCTTTTCTAGTAATGCAAAGTAAAGATATGAAACAAAGTATCATCATTCGTTAGTTTACCTGGACGGTCTTCAACAATCCACCTAGGATCGCCTAAAATATAAAAAAATTAGAAATATCAATATCATTCAAAAAATTATCTAAAAACAAGTGTTAACAAATATCTCCAATGTTCAGCTTTACGCAACAAGCGTGTTGTTGACTTTGGACTTGGAGAAAAGTTGCTAAAATCTGGATGTTTACCTTCTCCCCATTTTGCCATTGCTTTTTTTACTCTTCTTTTTTCTTTCTTATTCTACAATAAGCAATACAACTTCAACGATCTATGATGTATAAGAGAGCAACAGCGGAATGCAAACTCTTTCAGCTGCAGAGGTTTAACACGGTTATTTGAAAATTAATGTAAAAATAAGCTCGGAAGTGTCGCATCAACATCTGGAACCTTCCGATATACCTGGTCATTTTATTTATCAAAAAGTAACCAGTCAAAAAAATTCTACACCATCGTTGTATACGTCTGGCCGATACTTGATTGACTTTGGTTTCGAAATACAAACCAGAATGATTTTATATTTAATTAAAGATAAAAGCCAACAAAAATGTTTATAATACATCCATATATAAAAACAGAAATTGAATAGATGTCGCAAAGTTCCTTCGGTAATCTGTCAACAGAACGAATAAATCGATGATTATTGCAAAAAAACGATTGTTTCCTGTTCTAGAAAATCCATATAAGTCGAATAAGTATATTTCTCAATTATCTGCTATAATTGCAGTTTTTCTACTTATTTTCTACCGGATTCAGATTCAACGTTACACGAACCAAACTGATCGCTTAAGAAAACTAAACAGTTAAAGTGTACTGGTGTCGTTCTGTATTGCAGTAATTCAACTACGACAAAAACAAGCATTGTGTAGCATACATTATTATTAGTTATATTCTATTATAGATATATATGTATATACTAATTAATCAATACACAAACAAAAAGAAAATAAGACATGGTCAAATTGTAACCAGTAACAGAAAAAAAAGAGAAATAATTGACTAGTAAAAGAATTATTCATATTGAATCGACACAAAATTGAACAAAAAAGAAAGACATAATTTTGTTTTGATAACAAAAATTAAAAAAATGGATTCTAAAATAGATAATATAAAATGTAGAATGACTTTATTTCATTTGATCTCAATATAAAGATACATACTTCATTCTGGTGACGATTTTGTAAAATGGGAGGTGCTAATTGAACAGGTGCAATATTCATCACATTTTCTTTATTTTCATCTGTTACTGATAATCGTCGCTGTTTAATTTCTTGACATATTTCAAAATCACTCTTCGGTTCACTCATTAACGTTGGTAATAATGAGAGATCATTTTCAAATTTTTCAACTAAAAATAAGTTGAATCAAATGTAAATGTTAACACTAACACGATATATTGTACATACTCGATTGTGACATTAATTTCCATTCATGTTTAACATTATGATTTAAAACATCAAAACGCTGAAATTGTTTTGATAATTGGTCTTTAATAACTACCACTGATGATTGCGAATAATCAACTTCATTTCTCATAATGTTCAAATTTTCAATTATTTTATTCATGTCTTCTTCAATTAGATGAAATAATGTTTCACATGGTGTATCATAATCTGTTTTAATATTGACAAATATTTGATTAAATTTTTTTGACAATAATTCTTGATTATCTTGGATATATTTTGTACATAAATATTCAATACGCTAATAATAAAATACAAAATGATCAGAGACATATTTAAAAATGTGAGAAATGTTTATATAAATTATTAACCACAAGTGGATATGGCTTAGTTTGAATGGATAACAACACTCATATTTTGCACAGTAGAAGGTAAATAGACTTCTTCTAACATGTAATGATGAACAAATTACTTACTTCAGTAATTGCATTTTGTGTTTTTGATGAAGATTGCAAATTGTGATGATGCTTTGTAATTGAATTAATGATATTTACTACCTAGAATTTACAGTCAAAAATATTCGATAATATCTACTTTTAATTTCTCATACCATTTCTTCGATATCAGCTTGCGTTTCATTAAATAACACTTCATATTCATTCAACCAATTTGTTTTAATTGCATCTACATCCAATGAAAGTACATTGGATGAAGAATCTCGTGTTGTTTCTACAATATTCTAAACCAAAAAAAAGAGAAGAAACACTTTTTTTTCTGCAGCTTTTAAAATCAATTACAATCAACATACTCGAAAATCATACGCTAACTAAATACAAAGAAATAAAACAATAATTTAATAACATTGTTAAAGCAAAATGGTGTAAATACTTACCATTTGTGCAAGCGTTGTTTGCACACGATTTGTCATATAATTGTACAAACTAGTCCATAAAGTCTGATGTGGTTTTTCGAACGATGATTTCTTAAATAATATCAAATGATAAAGAGGTGACTACTGTAATATAATAAATTCTGTTTTATTACAATTGTTTGAAAATAAGTGTTCACTTTCATCAATGATTGTTCACAAATCATTTTATCAGATGTACTATCATTATTATTTTTAATTATTGTTGATTTAATTTCTTCTTTAATATCATTCTGCAAAAATAAGTTTGAAAAATTACTAGAAAATACAAAGACTTTCTCCTATACCTGAAGCTGAAGGAAGAAATTGTTCAAATCAGTATGTGTTGAATGAAATTGTGTAAATGCTGATGTCAAAACTGATCGAATATTTGTATTAAAATCATCTAATCTTGATCGAACAATAAGAAATAAATTCAACACATTATCTAACCAATAAATGAATGATATACTTTATATATGACAGTAATAATAGAGTGGTGGAAAAAAGTTTAAAACCACTTTTATTTCTGAATTTTCTTCTGAACGAAAGTAGCTAGATTTGCGTGTAGAGAGAGAGAGAGAGAGCACTTTGGAGGAACTAGACACGTAATAAAAAAATTTTAATCTAAATTTAACCGAATTAATAAAATGAACTTTTAAAAATTTAAAAAGTCTAAAATTTGAAAACTTTTTAAAATTAGTTAAAAGCCATTTTAGATCATATAGCAAGATAAAGCAAACTTTTCTCATCAAAATGAGACGTTCCGCAGATTTCTGCGACCTATAAACGAGGTATCAAGTATTCCCGGAAATTTATGGAACGTCTCATTTTTATGAGAAAAGTTTGTTTTATGTTGCTAAATGATCAAAAAATGACTTTTAACTAAAGATTTGAAAATTTTAGGCTTTTTAAATTTTCAGTTCATTTTTTTAATTCAGATTAAATTTTTTAAATTATGTGTCTAGTTACTCCAAAATGCACAAATCTGTCATCGGGTATCGTTTAGCTACTTTCTTTCGTTCATAAGAAAATTCCGAAATAAAAGTGGTCTTAGACTTTTTTCCGCCATTTTATGTTCAATGTTACCAATTGATCCAACAAAATTTGTAAACGTTCCTTTGATAGAATCATTTAATTGGGTCATTTGTAGTTGAATATTTTCAATTATTAATCGGCAATTCGATGTATATTGTTCAAGAGTTGTTGAATCTTTTGTTCGATTATCACGAAGAAATTGCATACATTTCAATGCTTGATCACGATGCTAAAACGAGATAAAAGAAACATTAAATCCAGCACTGAAACAATAAATTTTTTTCTATCTTGTGAGCGAAGAAAATTAGTCTATTAGGCATACAAAAAGTAACGTCTAATCTCATAATTATAAGATATACGAGCATTAATTCTTCAACTACAGTTTCATAGTCTTATAAACATACCGTTAAAGCTTTATCTGTTGCATAAATTAATTCATCATAACGATAACGTAATAGAGCTTGTGTCTCATTTTTTTCTTCTGTCTGTGAACGTAATTCCTGATAAATAGAACATGCTAATAAATAAATAAAAAGTTATGAGATAATATCGCGTATTTACTGTTTGAGTTGTCGATAGTTGTCGTCGAAATGTTTCATTTTCAATCTTGTACTTTAAAAAAACAACAACAGATAATCAATGTTTTATTTTTAATCTATTTTCAAGCTAAGATAATACCGACTTGTTCAAGCTGTTGACTTATTGAATCAATTGTTACATCTTTACTATCTACAACTGCTTGTAGTGTTATCAATTGATTTTTCACCGTTCTGAATATAGCAAAAAATTTTATTTATACTTTTTAGAATTTATTTATAACGTACATATATTGTGTATACGGTATACCATCAGCTTCACGTTTAGCTTCCAACTCTTTGCGTAAACGACGGATCTCTTCGGCATATTCCTTTGCAGAAAATACAATAAAATATAGAATTATAAGAATTAATGATCTTCTTCAACTTTACTTTCGCAACATCCTTTGTGGACAACTGATTTGGCTCTGGACGAATTCGAATTGATCTTGCTCGTTGGCCATATTCTAATGTACTCAGTGTTTCCTAAACAAACTCTAAGTATCATACTAATGTTCGTTGTTGAGAACTAGTTGATAAACTTACAAATTCATTTGCTGGCGATAATGTGATGATGATTGATGTTATTGTTTTTCCACACAATGAATCTTGTAATATTCTCGTTAATTTACTATCACTACAAAGAAGGACTATGCTGATGACTATTTTTGGAAGGAATTTCAAAACTTACCGATATGACACATGTTTTTCGTTGTTAATTAACGCTGTAATGACTCGACCGAGTGTCAACAAACTTTGATTTATTGTACCTGCTTCTCTTGCTCGTTTATCACTAGCTCCACTTCGTTGTATATTTTCACTACCAGCTAAGTCCACCTCAATATATAGAATTAATAACTAGAGGATATTTTACTTTCTTTAAACATACTAAATGTATTTTTCCGAATTTGATATCCCCATTTTGTTCTTTCATTGTTGCTGTCATCGTAAAAATAGAATGCGAGCGACTAAAAGATGCACCACGTTTTGCCCTACTTCAGTTCGATCTTTTTCTCTAACGTTTACCTGGATGTAGCATTCATCAAAGTTTCCGCTGTTGCCCGACGTAGAGAGCCTTTGACTAATGCTTTGTATGCTTCATGAGGATTTTCCACGGTTATTTCATTAGCACCAACAATCATATTTGTCTGGAATGAATACGAATAGTTTTTAACAATATAACTCATTTATCTCGAGTTTCTTACGCCTTTGTGATCTTTGTCTTCATATATTTTAATTTTTTCCGGTTCAACACTTGTATCCGCCAATAAGTCGAGTAATTCTTCATTATATAACTCAAGATACGTAATTTTAACGGTAAAATCACAATGCTATATAAAATAAGAAGATAAAGTATTATTCAAAACTGCGATATTCAAGGTATCTCTAACTTGTCGATTAAGTCCTTGAAAAAGTTGCTGGATCGCTCGAGGCATTATTCCTGCATCAACATCAAGAAGCGTCATGTGAACAGCACTATCTTTCAGCGATTTGTCAAGGTTAAATTTCCCAAGCATTGTGTGAGTTTTACCACTACCCGTTTGTCCATATCTAAAATAACAAGGGAAAAAAATGATAGAATAGCATAATTCCAAAACCGAACATACGCAAATATTGTACAACTGTAGCCTTTAAGGACTTCATCGATAATTGGTGAAACGACAGATTTGTACAAATCCTGTTGTTTTGTAGTAGGACTAAAGACCTATAGAAAGCAGCATAATGCATTTTTGATTTCGAATCACAAATATGAATTACTTGATCAAATGAAAAAAATCGTGTAGAAGTTGTTTTACAGTTGACGACGATTTCTCGACGACTTTCATAGACGCTAAAACAGCTCTGTAAGTTCTGAGATTTTTCATTTTCGTTGAGTGGTCTAAACAAGAAAATATGGGAACTTGATGTTAGGGAAGAATTAACGTTTTTCAATAAATACCTTGGTCTTGCAATAACTTGAACGTGTTTTTCAACTGATTGTTTTGCTTCATTCATTTTGCTTAATTTGTGGCTCAATGGATTGAAGAGAAACGTATAACATGTTCTTATGACACAAACTATCAGCTGTTGACAGTCATATTTTTTTGCTCCTTTCAAGAAACAAAGCCGCGAAGTTTCACCAATCACTTCAAGAGTTCCTCGTCTTGCGAGTCTTTTGGTGATTTGAAGAGAACAAATTAATTCATGTAGTTATATTTATCCTAAAACATCCTGCTCATAGTATTATTTAGAGAAGAAAAAATTCAACTGAACAGTAACGCCATCTCGCTAGTCATGCGACACACTTACTTGAATCTGGGTACTTCCGCACAGGTCCGCCCACTTTATACACGACTTAAAGCTGGGAGGATTTGACTATTTGCAATCGATAGTCCTACTAAAGGTGTGTCAAGATCCCTGTCCCCCCATGAAAAAATTATTCCGA